ACTGGACCAGCTCTATACCCTCTACAGGGTACTCGAGGGCTCATGCGAGTTTGCCCAACCTGTTCACATGTGTTTTGTGGACCTGGAGAAGGCATTCAACTGTGTCCCTCGTGATGCCTTGTGGGGGGTGCTCCAGGAGTATGGAATCGGGGGCCCTTTATTAGGGGCCATCCGGTCCCTGTACGAGCGGAGCAGGAGTTTGGTCCACATTGCCGGCACTAAGTCGGACCTGTTCCCGGTGCATGTTAGACTCCGACAGGGCTGCCCTTTGTCACCGGTCCTGTTCATAACTTTTATGGACAGGATTTCTAGACGCAGCCAAGGGCCGGAGGGGGTCTGGTTTGGGGACCAGTGGATTTCGACTCTTCTTTTTGCAGGTGACGTGGTCCTGCTGGCTCCCTCTAGCCAAGACCTACAGCATGCACTGGGGCGGTTCGCAGCCGAGTGTGAAGCGGCTGGGATGAAGATCAGCTCCTCCAAGTCAGAGGCCATGGTACTCAACTGGAAAACGGTGGCTTGTCCTCTTCATGTTGGAGGGGAGCTCCTGCCTCAAGTGGAGGAGTTCAAGTATCTCGGGGTCTTTTTCACGAGTGAGGGAAGAATGGAGCGGGAGATCGACAGATGGATCGGTGCGGCTGCCGCAGTAATGGGGGCGCTGTGCCGGTCCATTGTGGTGAAGAGAGAGCTGAGCCGAAACGCGAAGCTCTCGATTTACCGGTCGGTCTACGTTCCTACCCTCACCTATGGCCATGAAGTTTGGGTCATGACCGAAAGAACGAGATCCCGGATACAAGCGGCTTAAATGAGCTTCCTCCGTAGGGTGGCCGGGCACTCCCTTAGAGATAGGGTGAGGAGCTCGGCCATTCGGGAGGGGCTCGTAGTAGAGCCGCTGCTCCTCCACATCGAGAGGAGCCAGTTGAGGTGGCTCAGGCATCTATACCGGATGCCTCCTGGACGCCTTCCTCGGGAGGTGTTCCAGGCACATCCCACCGGGAGGAGACCCAGGGGACGGCCCAGGACACGCTGGAGGGACTATGTCTCTCAGCTGGCCTGGGAACGCCTTGGGCTCCCCCCGGAGGAGCTGGAGGAGGTGTCTGGGGAGAGGGACGTCTGGGTGTCTCTGCTGAGTCTGCTGTTCCCGTGACCCGGTTCCGGATAAGCGGAAGACGACGAGTACGAGTACGACAGTAAGATATTTTAAAGAAACACCGGTTCCTATGGAGTTTGACTCTCATGTGTTTAAATCTGATAAGGAATCTGTGGAGGGAACTGAAGATTAGGGTGATGGCAAGGTGCCCTTCCAACCTCATAGAATTATAGCTCATTACAGAAGATAAAATGTCCAGAAGGGTCCAGAGGGTGTGTTCCAACTACAGGGGGATCAAACTCCTCAGTCTCCCTGGTAAGGCCTATGCCACGGTATTGAAAAGGAGAGTTCGGCCGATAGTCTAACCCCGGCCAGGAGGAGCAGTGTGATTTTCGTCCCAGCTGTGGAACACCGGACCAGCTCTACACCCTCTACAGGGTGCTCGAGGGTTCATAGGAGTTTGCCCAAGCGGTCCACATGTGTTTTGCGGACATGTAGAAGGCATTCGACTGTGTCCCTTGTGGTGAAACTTGTGGGAAACAAGTTTGCGCCACCAGGATGGCCGAGTGGTTAAGGCGTTGGACTTAAGATCCAATGGATAGATGTCCTCGTGGGTTCGAACCCCACTCCTGGTATGCTGTTGTCAATTATCTTTAAAGGGAAACCATTGTTATTTAAACCTGAAACATCTGTGAATACTTTCAGCTCACTCATTATGTTCTGGGTAAAATTCCCATTCATCTGATTAAGGTCTTGAGGCAGTAAGGTATGTTAAAGAAACACCGGTTCCTATGCAGTTTGACTCTCATGTGTTTAAATCTCATAATGAATCTGTGGAGGGAGCTGAAGATTAGGGTGATGGCAAGGAGGCCTTCCAACCTCATAGAATTATAGCTCATTACAGAAGATAAAATGTCAAAATATTCATGGAAAGCTGCTCAGCACTTATAAGGAGGTTTTGGTTGCTGTAACTCTGGTATGCTGTTGTCTTTGGTTCTCCTTCAAACCAAAGAGGAGAACCACTGACTTTGAGCACAGTATTGTCATGATGTGCTTTGTCAGGATAACATATGATAACTGATAAAGAATCTGAGGATTGAGCTAAAGATTAGGGTGATGGCTCATTTCAAAAGATAAAATGTCAAAATACCAGTGAAAACGTTTAGCAAGCTGCTCAGCACTTATACGGAGGGTTTGATTGATGTAAGGCAAGCTATTCAACATTGTGTGGTGGTTGGGGACAGTGCCTCTGGACGGGCAGACCGGGGTGGTGGTCCCCCTTCATAAGAAGGGTGACCGGAGGGTGTGTTCCAAATATAGGGGGATCACACTCCTCAGCCTCCCTGGTAAGGCCTATGCCAGGGTATTGGAAAGGAGAGTTCGGCCGATAGTCGAACCCCGGCTTCAGGAGGCATTCGACTGTGTCCCTCATGGTGCCTTGTGGGGGGTGCTCCAGGAGTATGGAGTCGGGGGCCCTTTATCAGGGGCCATCCGGTCTCTGTACAAGCAGTACATCGTACAAGAGTTTTCCACGAGTCATCCATCCATGAAACAAGTTTTTGTATACTAATTTAGTAATTAAGTCACAACAACAAAACCAGTAGAGCAGTATAAAGCATGCTCCCAGTGGTCAGCACAATTAACCCTTTCCTCTAGTGACCCAAATGATCTGACAGGTGGGAAACTAGGTTGCGCCACCAGGATGGCCGAGTGGTTAAGGCGTTGGACTTAAGATCCAATGGATAGATGTCCTCGTGGGTTCGAACCCCACTCCTGGTATGCTATTGTCAATTATCTTTAAAGGGAAACCATTGTTATTTAAACCTGAAACATCTGTGAATACTTTCAGCACAGTATTGGACTTCACTCATTATGTTCTGGATAATAACCCATTCATCTGATTAAGGTCTGGAGACAGTAAGGTATTTTAAAGAAACACCGGTTCCTATGGAGTTTGACTCTCATGTGTTTAAATCTCATAATGAATCTGTGGAGGGAGCTGAAGATTAGGGTGATGGCAAGGAGGCCTTCCAACCTCATAGAATTATAGCTCATTACAGAAGATAAAATGTCAAAATATTCTTGGAAAGCTGCTCAGCACTTATAAGGAGGTTTTGATTGCTGTAACTCTAGTATGCTGTTTTCTTTGGTTTTCCTTCAAACCAAAGAGGAGAACCACTGACTTTGAGCACAGTATTGTCATGATGTGCTTTGTCAGGATAAACATGATAACTGATAAAGAATCTGAGGATTGAGCTAAAGATTAGGGTGATGCTCATTTCAAAAGATAAAATGTCAAAATACCAGTGAAAACGTTTAGCAAGCTGCTCAGCACTTATACGGAGGGTTTGATTGATGTAAGGCAAGCTATTCAACATTGTGTGGTGGTTGGGGACAGTGCCTCTGGACGGGCAGACCGGGTGGTGGTCCCCCCTTCTAAGAAGGGTGACCGGAGGGTGTGTTCCAAATATAGGGGGATCACACTCCTCAGCCTCCCTGGTAAGGCCTATGCCAGGGTATTGGAAAGGAGAGTTCGGACCGATAGTCGAACCCCGGCTTCAGGAGGCATTCGACTGTGTCCCTCATGGTGCCTTGTGGGGGGTGCTCCAGGAGTATGGAGTCGGGGGCCCTTTATCAGGGCCATCCGGTCTCTGTACAAGCAGTACATCGTACAAGAGTTTTCCACGAGTCATCCATCCATGAAACAAGTTTTTGTATACTAATTTAGTAATTAAGTCACAACAACAAAACCAGTAGAGCAGTATAAAGCATGCTCCCAGTGGTCAGCACAAGTAACCCTTTCCTCTAGTGACCCAAATGATCTGACAGGTGGGAAACTAGTTTGCGCCACCAGGATGGCCGAGTGGTTAAGGCGTTGGACTTAAGATCCAATGGATAGATGTCCTCGTGGGTTCGAACCCCACTCCTGGTATGCTATTGTCAATTATCTTTAAAGGGAAACCATTGTTATTTAAACCTGAAACATCTGTGAATACTTTCAGCACAGTATTGGACTTCACTCATTATGTTCTGGATAATAACCCATTCATCTGATTAAGGTCTGGAGACAGTAAGGTATTTTAAAGAAACACCGGTTCCTATGGAGTTTGACTCTCATGTGTTTAAATCTCATAATGAATCTGTGGAGGGAGCTGAAGATTAGGGTGATGGCAAGGAGGCCTTCCAACCTCATAGAATTATAGCTCATTACAGAAGATAAAATGTCAAAATATTCTTGGAAAGCTGCTCAGCACTTATAAGGAGGTTTTGATTGCTGTAACTCTAGTATGCTGTTTTCTTTGGTTTTCCTTCAAACCAAAGAGGAGAACCACTGACTTTGAGCACAGTATTGTCATGATGTGCTTTGTCAGGATAACATGATAACTGATAAAGAATCTGAGGATTGAGCTAAAGATTAGGGTGATGGCTCATTTCAAAAGATAAAATGTCAAAATACCAGTGAAAACGTTTAGCAAGCTGCTCAGCACTTATACGGAGGGTTTGATTGATGTAAGGCAAGCTATTCAACATTGTGTGGCGGTTGGGGACAGTGCCTCTGGACGGGCAGACCGGGGTGGTGGTCGCCCTTCATAAGAAGGGTGACCGGAGGGTGTGTTCCAAATATAGGGGGATTACACTCCTCAGCCTCCCTGGTAAGGCCTATGCCAGGGTATTGGAAAGGGAGAGTTCGGGCCGATAGTCGAAACCCGGCTTCAGGAGGCATTCGACTGTGTCCCTCATGGTGCCTTGTGGGGGGTGCTCCAGGAGTATGGAGTCGGGGGCCCTTTATCAGGGGCCATCCGGTCTCTGTACAAGCAGTACATCGTACAAGAGTTTTCCACGAGTCATCCATCCATGAAACAAGTTTTTGTATACTAATTTAGTAATTAAGTCACAACAACAAAACCAGTAGAGCAGTATGGCTGAGTGGTTAAGGTGTTGGACTTAAGAGCCAATGGACAGATGTCTTCGTTGGTTCAAACCCCACTACTGGTATGCTATTGGGCACTTGTCTTTCAATGAAACCCATTGTTATCTGAAGCATTTAGGACTTTCTTTCCTTATTTAGTCATTATGTCCTTTGTCATCAAGTTCTGGGCAATAATCATCTGATTCAAGTGTGCAGAAGTGGAGACATTTTAAAGAAGCAGCAATGCCGGTTCCTATGGAGTTTTAATCTCATGTGTTTAAATCAGACAGGCATCTTTCTATATGGAGTTTGTATGTTCTCCCAGTGCATGTGTGGGTTCTCTCTGACTACTCTGTGGTTTTTAGATGTATGGAGCTCACTTCGAGGCCCGACCCAGAAAGAGCGATCCACCATTTTCTCATTTTGATGACAGAATACTAATCAAGTTAGACCTCAGAACTGAGATGAAATTTAGTTTTCACCTATTAATATCTGAAACAGTGGCATACAATCTGCTCCTTGGTTAGGTGAACTTGACTGCAAAGCATAAAATACAGATGCTAGCAGCATCAATGATAGTTTGAATTGTCCCTGCTTTATAGACTGTATGTTGATCTGTTTCTGCTGTTTCCACTGATGAGAGCAATAGAAACTATAACTATTCTATCAATAACTTCCCTGTGTTTATAGTTAGATAAGAAAACCAGAATTGTAGCCTCTGCTCTAATTCATCCTAAAGGTGTTAAAGAAGGTTGGTTTGGTGGTGTGACCCAATACTTTTGATGATGTAGTGTATCTTGAGATATTTTTTTAGTCTTTCAAAGCTTTTTTTTGCTATCTTCAATTACAATTTTGTTAAGTGTAGCAGTGCAGATTATGGCTTAAAGCTCATAAAACCCCCAATTCAGTCTTTTAGAAAATTAGAATGAACATGTGCCAAGCCCAGCTGCAAAATTAAATCAGCATCTCCATACAGCTTGTCAGCAGAAGGAAGCATGCCTTAAAATTTCCTGGTAAATGGCTGCATTGACTGTGGACTTCAGAAAACCCAGTGGACCAACGCCAGCAGAGAACATGGCACCTCACATCATCACTGACTGTGGAAACTTAACACTGGACTTCAAGCAACATAGATTCTGTGCCTCTCCACTCCTCCTCCAAACTCTGGGAACCTGATTTCCAAAGGAAATGCAAACGTTTCTTTTATCTCAAAAGAGTAATAACTTTATAATACTTTACTTTTGTCTGTCTGATTACATTATTTTTTAAATATCAAATCAGCTGTTATGATCAGCTACTATTTTGAGTAGCCTTTTTATCAAATATTTTTACCTCAGACTTGAGTAATTATTTTGGATGAATACTTTTTACTTCAGCTCAGTTTAAACTATATTTAAGGAATACTAAACTTACTTGAGTATAATTCTTGGCTACTCTACCCACCTCTGATACATATCAGTTATTTCATCTGTGTTATGTCATTTTTTGGTCTTTTCTAAAGATCCTCTTTCATCAGTCTTTAAAAAATGTTTTGTACAGGTGTTATTTGTCCAGCAGGGGGCGGCAGCACAACAAATATGATGAGGAAACGGCCCAAGAAGAGTAGAGGTGTGATAAATGTGACCACGATCTGATTAAATACTTTTAATTACATGAACATCGGTGACAGATAAAGAGACACCCATATTAATTCCTTTAAACACATGCAAAATAATAAAAAGCTTAAAAATGCTTTGAGGTTAGACTCTCTGAGAGGGTTAACACTGATGCAGAAAAGGCACGAAAGATCAGGCAGGTCAAGATTTTGAGAAGCATTTAATTCGAGTCCAATCAGTTCCAAGCAGGTAAAGGAGAAAGTGTTTGTTCTAATGGGGATCTAATGCAGCAGAGTAGCCATGAAACACCTTTACATCCCTCTGTGGTGTTCCATCTAAAGTTTCAGATCATGTAAAAAATGCCTGTGGTTCTTTCAGGCATCCTACTTTTAGGTTTTAAGTTTACTGTAACAACTTTATTTTTATCCTTGAAAAGTTTTTCTGAAAACCCTCCTTGCAGTTTGGACTCCATGCAGTTTAACACGTTTCATACTCCATATTATTTTTAACATATTTAATCATGACATCCAGTGATCAAGGGGTCCTTTATGGCTGCTGCTTGGTTGTTGCACGTCAGTGTCCTGAGCAGCAGCAGACTGGGCTGGCGGCTACAGCAGCTTCTCAGGGGCTACAAGGTCGCAAAAGTGTCTATTTCAGTAGCATCACAACATGCTACTTGGAAAGCAGTTATTCGTATCACATCACACAAACTACCTCATACAGGGCAATAAAAAAGTATTTGGCCCCTACACTGAAAAAAGGAAACCGTTGGATCTGCATAAGCATATTTAAGTACTTTTACAGGATTATTTCATTTACTGAAAGAAAGTGTATTGCGTAGATACTACATTATGTGCAGAGTTTGTATATTAACATGTTATATTCATCCTGTGCAATCGTAACATTATCTCTTGCAACGATAGACGATGGGACTTCATGTTGTAGAAGAAGATGTTTAAGAACCAATCAAAATTAAACAGGGTCTCACCCCAACTCTCTACCCTCCTCTCACCCTCAAAATACGCACACAGAACAGCACTGCAACTATACTTGGCCATAAAAACCACCAAACAATATAGTCCCAGACTCATCAGGAATACGGGATTGGCTCAAAGACCTAAGAGACCAGACTCCGTGGGATCCCATGAAATCTCCCCTTATCTGAATCTTCCCCTTTTCAATGCAGGTGGAATTTTAAAACAACATTGTTAAATTTAAGTAATCAAATAGTGTTGGAAGTAAAGGGATTCAGTTGTGTTGAAGTAAAGTAATCAAATTACATAGGACTGAAATGATTGGAGAGCCTAATTTATTTTACTTAAGAGGTGGTCTTGTTGGAGTTTTTGAGATAATTTATCCTGCTGCACGGCACTTTAGTTACGTTTTAACCCCTTATAACCATGTTCTTGAATTTCTTTAGATCTGGGCATGATGTGTTGCTTTTTGAGACCTTTTACCCTACTTCATGTTGTCAGACAGGTTCTATTTAAGTGATTTTTGGATCAACAGTTCAAGCTTCTTCATTTAGACCTGGGCTTGACTTGTAAAATTGTACCTGAAAGTGCTGTTAATGAAGTTCATGATTTAATTAGAACCGGTTTGGTTTGAATAGTTTTTCATCATTTAAAAATGGGACTTACTCGGTTTTTACTCTGGTTATCTTTGTCTGATGTTTAAATTTCTTTTTTTATCTGAAAGTGTCGCAAAAAAAAAATACGAGAAGACTCAAATCTGACCTTGAACATAAGTTTACACATAGTTCACTATTCCGACCAAGACTGTGACTTCTGCAAGTGACATTAGATCGAGCTGAAAACAGTATTTTATTCCAGTTTTCCTCAGATTATCCCAATGTAGTGACCATACAACTGTAATAATAAACTGTTTATTTATATGCATGTGTATACATGGAGAAATAATGGTCCTTAATGTGCTATCTGCTTAATGTCTTTTTCACTGCTAAGAACATTTCAGTAGTGGAGATTTATGATGATGTCCTTAATTAAAGTTATTGTGAAACAGACTCTTCCTCAAGAAAGTTAACAAAGGGTTTTGTACAATATTTATTTTCCAAACAGCTTTCCAAGTAGACACACCAAAAACAGTCATCCGACTTTGTTTGCTCTTAGTGTTGAGTCGGTTTAACAGAGAATGGAGGAGAGCTGGATGCAGAGATAGACACAGAACCAAACAGATGTGCCCAGTCAGACTAACCAAGCCCTGGTCAACTTGATTAAAACAGGGAGCAGTTTTTGGATTCCTGTAATAATCTTTCTTCTTTTGTCATAATTGTCTTGTGTTGGGTTTTGAGTTTGAGTTCTTTGTCTGTTTCTCTGCATTTTCCCTGTTTATGTTCTTCAGTTGCTGTCTTGTTAGTTCATTGTAATTTAGGTTCTTCATTCATTCTTGTGTTGAGATGTGTCTGTTGCCTCCCTGTACTACCTGCTCATCTGTGTTAATTGGTCGCCCTCCTTCTGTTGGTTGCTTTCTCCCTGTCACCAGCTGCTCCATATTTCTGCTGATTAGCCCTTCTTGTTCAATGGTCCATTCTCCACCCTATCTGTGTATTTATACCCTCTGGTTTTCATTGCTCACCACTGCTTCCTCATGTTAACTACCTGGCCCACGTCCATTTGTCTGCCTGTGTTCCATGTCCTATTTTCAGGGTCTGTAAGTTATCTGTTTAATTATTTCTGCCTGCTAGTCCAAAAAAACTCAGCATGATATCATCCTTTGAGCAAGATAGTTTTTAAATTACTTACAATTTGGTTCTCAAATCCCAAGATAGGAACTGCAGAGCATCCAACACCCGTGTCAAGATTAAAACAGCTGTTGACTCCCTGGAGAGAGCCTTAAGACTGGGTTGAAAAAAGATTTTCCACTCTCTGAGCTGAGGAACGCAATGTTCAGAACCACAGGTCAAGGGACCCAATCCAGTTCATTCAGAGGTGACACAACGCGGCCCAAGGCTAAGAGTAAGGTATCTTATAAGTTTATATCAGGACCCTCCAGAGTTTACGGTCCTTCCTCAGTTGAATTATTCATACCATTATTTTTCTATAAATATTATGAAAGGAAACTGTGAATATACTTTTTTGAGGGGGGCTGAGCAGGAGTCTGAGGCTCTTGGAGATGAAGGTTGGGCACTTGAGACTCCAGGAGCCTAAAACCAAAAACGGACCTATGAACACTCAGTGATTGCAGGGTTCCTGAAACCAGAGACTGCAATGAAGGATCTTTGGTGGACAATCAACACGGATGGATAACTTTTAGAAAATGGGACATGTCTTGAAGTCTGCAAATGCAAATATTTTTCCACGCTCTCTTTCTTTTTTCTTTCCAAACCCGTAAAATCCTTAAATTAAACCCAAACTTTTCCAGACTTTTCCAGACTGTGATAAACTAGATGACTTAGTTTTACCTTCACAGATAGCAGCACTAGCTTACCTCCTCAGCAGTAAACTAAATAGATGCTGACCCAAATGTAGGGC